TCTCTCTCTCTCTCTCTCTCAAAAAAAAAAACAAACCCCCAAGTCCTTCACGACATCCCGATGCTTCCAGACGAGAGCTCTTTTGACCTGGTGACACGCTACGGTTTAGGGTTTAGGGTTTAGGGTTTAGGGTTTAGGGGCTCTTTTGACCTGGTGACACGCTGTATAAGCCCCGTTTGGAGGTTCAGGGTTTTTTCTGTGTGTGTTGACATGCCCTTTCCGACCGCTTGCTAGAGTAGCACACACAGTGAAACAAAACCTATACAGACCACGTAGACCATTGTTCATGTAAAACAAGATGAGGAAGGACTGGTACTTGAAGGGTTTAGGGTTTAGAGCTTACGGTTGAGGGTTGAGGGATTAGAGTTTAGGGTTTAGGGTTTGGGGGTTTGGGGTGAGGGCTTACAGGGGGTGGGGGGGGATTCTTCTCATAATCACCGAGAAGTTCCTGCTTCGCCTCGCCGCCCTTGCCGAGCCAGTATCTAAGGCGTGGAGCAGAGGTGCCCTCACCGTGTTGACACACAGGGAGTGGGTTTAGGGTTTAGGGTTTAGGGTTTAGAGTTTAGGGTTTAGGGTTTATAGGGTTTAGAGGTACTTTGTCACTGCAGCGTCCTCCCTCTTCGCTCGTATGTTGAAGGAGGTCTTGGCGCTAGTGAGTGTCTTGACCGGCTTCGGGTAGTAGGCGCCAGACCTTCCAATGCTCACGAACACTTTGGAGCAGAACTCCAAGCGCCCCTTGCACTCCTGGAAGGCAGCCATGCACTCGCATTCTCCAGTCGCAACCTGCGGCTCGATCTTGTACCCGAACTCGCGGTATCCGTGACACCACTTAGCCGCAAAATGGCGGACTGTCATGCCCAGCGTCGTTTCGATGAACCGCTTCATGAAAAAGTGGAGTCCATCGTCGCCTGGTAATTATTTAGGCCCCACCACTGCACGATTTTGCACGGGTGTTGCAAGGTCCTGTCATGTTTCATCAGCGGGCTGCCAGGTTCTACTATGGGGTTTAGCCAGACCCTAAACCCTAAAACACCTAAACCCTAAACCCTAAACCCTAGGCAGGGCTGAGTTGTCAGGCAATTCTAAGGTTCACGGCAGCCGTACAAAACATCCACAAGTATCAGTGAAGAGATAGAAGAAAAACCACTGTAATGTAGGGGCCTAAATAATTAACAGCACTATTTTGGGGGTTCCTTATTAAGCTTATAGTATAATGGGCCCCAAAACCCTATTCTAATTCTTAAGAAAGCCCTATTCTAATTATTGAGGCCTATGTTAAACCCCAAACCCTCAACCCTAAACCCGAAACCCTTCTACAGCCCCTACATTCCCAGTAAACCACTGTAGCCTCAAAGCCGCGCCGATCCGGCCTTTTCTGCGGCCTTCCACGACGAAAAGCGGCGAACCGAAATTTGAGCCCAGGAGCGCCTATGCCCCAAACCTATAAGAGCCCAGAAGTCTGTAGAATAATAGCCCTTTGTAGGTTAGGGTTTAGGGTTCAGGGTTTAACCTACAGGAGCCCAAAAGTATGTAGAATAGTAGCCCTTTAAAGGTTAGGGTTTAGGGTTTAGGGTATGTTGAAAGCTCAGGAAACCCTTGTGCGAAGGCCGTGAAGGAAAACGTCAACATCCCTGCGAATTCCCTCCAAAGAAACCCTGCTAGATTCTTAAAACCACCCTGACTCCAACTCTAGAGCCCTAAACCCTAAACCCTAAACTCTAACCCGAAGCTCCAAACCGGAAGCCCCGAACCGAAAACTCTAACCCTGAACCCTGAGCCCAAAATCCGGCGCCTAAAAGCCCTAAATTCTGAACCCTGACCGCCAAGCTCTAAATCTTAAGCCTAAACCCTAAGGCCCAAACTCAAACTGCAACTAGACTCTAACCCTAAACCCTAAACCCCTAAACCCTGAACCCCTAAACCCCTAAACCCCTAAACCCCTAAACCCCTAAACCCTTAAACCCCTAAACCCAAACCCCTAAACCCTAAACCCTAAACCCTAAACCCCAAAACCCAAACCCAGCTTTTGAAGGACAGGATGCCAAGGCTTCCGTCAGGTGTTTATCTTTCCCCAGTGTCCTGGGCCACGCTTCAAGTGAGAGGTGGACGGCCTTACCTTAAGAACCCAAAACCTACTTTTTTGTAGGGTCCCTATAAATTCCATATTAGGGTTTATAATAAGAACCTACAAAAAAGTGGGTTTTGGCTTCTTAAGGTAACCCTGGGGCTCCAAATGGCCCAATACTATTTACAGACTTTAGAACCCAAAGTAGGTACTATTTGATCAATTGGAGCCTTAGGGTAACACTAAGCAATGAAACCTAGAACTGAAATCAAGTTATGGTCCCTTTAACGGTTCCTTTTTCTATGAAAAAGGCTCTAGGGTTTAGGATGTTGTTAAGCAGATTTTAAAACTGGGGCCGTCACACTTAGAATAGGGGGTTGATGTGCATTACCGTTTCATTAAAGAGGGAAGTACAGTTTGTTCTGACCACCTGAGCAAAACCCAGATGCCCAAGCAGAAACCCTGCATCCTTCATCAGAAACGATACATCATGCCATGCCCTCACTCCTAACAAGCTTTAGGAGGACAGCTAGAGCTTTGGGAGCTAGGATTAGGGGGACCCTTGAGGATATAGACCCTCTCAATAAGGTCCCTTTTAAGAGAGCCCAAAGTAGGGTTCAGANNAGAAGGGGTACCCTTTAAGGGTACCCTTAATGATGCTACCTAAGCTCTTGCTTGATCAGCTCAGGGTGCTCTGCGGCTCTGGTCGGATGGGTTTTGCAGGCCGAGCTCGGCCGCATGTTTGTCAAACGCCCCTAAACCCTAAACCCTAACCTTACACCCCAGCTGTTGAGAGTGGCGGGCCCGCAAAGAGCCGACGCAGTTGTGAACACTCTTTGCATGCGACTCACCCAAGTGGCCCAAAACCCTATACCCCAAACCCCAAACCCTAAACCCTAAACCCTGAACCCTGAACCCCAAACCCTAAACCCTAATCCCTAAACCCTAAACCCCAAACCCTAAACCCAAACCAGGGCTGGACTTCTGAACTCGTACACCTGGCTGACTTGGCTTCCCGGATCTCTGAGTTTTGCTAACGGAGCTTAATTACGCGAAGCCTGCGAGGGTAATGTAGGGGCCTTGATAATTAGAATAGGGTCTTGGGTGTTCTTTATAGTATCAGTATAATAAGGAACTCTCAAAATGGCATATGTAATTATTAAAGCCCGTGTCTATCCACTTGAGCTTTTCACTGGCTTAGCCGTCTTGATGGACCCTAAACCCTAAACCCTAAACCCTAAAACCTAAACAAGGGGCCTGACAGCAGCCGTGGCACGTCAAACACCGAGCCATCCTACTGTAGTGGCCTTAATAATTAGGATAGGGTATTGGGCTTCTGTATATTATGATTATGATTATGATTATTATTATTGTTATTATTATTATTGTTATTACTATTATTATAAGGAACCTTAACAGTATTATTCGTAATTATTTAAGCTTCTATATCACCCCAGTTCTGCTTCTCCTTCTTGTCCCAGCCCATGGTCACCGCATTGGTCCACGCGCCACCTTGCGACGGCTTGCAGTTGGGCTGCAGCAGCTTCGCCTCCCCGGGACTTCTCTGCCAGTCGCAAGCCCCGAATAGTGTCTTCGGTTTAGGGTTTAGGGTTTAGGCTTTAGGGTTTAGGATTTAGGGTTTAGGGTTTAGGGTTTAGGGTTTAGGGGGTTTAGGGTTTAGGGTTAGCCCCGAATAGTGTCTTCGTTGCCCAACGTGGAGCTGGGATTAGGCTGCCGTTCGACACGCAAGACTGCGAAGTGGTACTGCACTGCGTGCAGACCAGATCGATCCACTTGAATCCACATTTCCCTGGAATACGAAGATGTGTGTGCCGTGCTCTGGAACTTCAGCGACACATAGCGACACGAAGTCGTCCTTTACCGCAGCAACAGAACCAGGATCCTCCTTAGATCGGGGGGCGGCTGCCGCGCCGCCGCCGGCGCCGCGCCATGAACTACTCAGACAGTTTCTCAGCCAGCTTGCTTGGGTTCTCTGACTTCCTAAAACTTCCAGGGGCTCTCAACCCAAGAAGCCCTAAACTCCCAAACCCTAACCCAAACCCAAAACCCCAAGCCCCCCTTCCAGAACCTCATTAGACACCCAAGAACCTGGTGACTGAAGAAAACTCCCGAATGGTTATAGCCCTAAGGGTCCAAAGGACCCAATAATCAGGTATGTACTTTGGTTACGGAGAGTAGTTATGTAGGTTAACAGTGGGCAGAGTTTATGATTATTAGGTGCTTGGACCCTTAGGGTAGGAATCAAGGAATACATTCTTTCTGTACTTAACACTCTGATAGAACCCTTAACCCTTAACCCTAAACCCTAAACCCTAAACCCTAAACCCTAAACCCTAAACCAAACCATATCTGGCCCCCCATTGTCCCCTTGATAATAAGGATACCCTTATTCCTGGTTTAATAGGGGGGACCGAAACCTACTTTTTTGTATGGTCCCTATAAATCCTATTTTAGGGTTTATACTAAGAACATACGAAAAATGGGGTTTTGGTAGGTTAAGGTATACACTGCCCCCAAGGAAGCCGAGGGGCCCGTGTCGAGCGGCATGCGACAAGCCTTGAAAACGGGGAGGCAGTCAAATCATGGCTTTCGGGTTATTTACACAACGGTTTGCTTATTCTAAGGGAAATTTTACCGATCACGCAGTGTAAGTAACTTGTAACCTTACTTACTCTCAGCTTTCCAGGTTTTGGGTTTGCAGGGTTTTTTGGGCGCAGTTGATGGAACCTATGCGCCCCGAGTGGGGTTTCGGAGGTATTTTCTAATGAGTGAATGTGGTGTTGACTTGCTAACTTGCGGTTCGTTGGGGCCTGGATAACATGTAGGAATGTAGGGCAAGGGTTCCACCGGGTAGTGAATTCGGGTTTTGGGGTTTAGGGTTTAGGGGCGCCTGAGAAGGCATTCCGTAGTTGCTTAGGGCTGGGGCTGGGGGGCGTCTGTGCGCACTTTACAGCAAGGCTTCACAAAGCGGCCTAGATGACCGCTGCGGTATCGGTAGATCACAATGTAGAGCATGCAGAAGTCGTAAAGAAGCCCCCCCCCCCCCACCCCGAAACTCTGAACTATTGGGCAGCTATCAAAATTAGGGTCCCTTTTAGGATCTTTTCCATATAAAGGTGCCGTAATAGCTCAAGCCCTAAAGCTCTAAACCCCCAAACCCCTAAACCCTACACCCTAAACCCTGAACCCTAAACCCTAAACCCTAAACCCTACTCACAACCCTACTCTCAAAGAAGCCCCCG